GAGATTCGCTGGTAACCGAATACACTTTGTGTTTTGATGATTCAGTGTAGCCCCCCCCCCCCCCCCCACGTATCACCTCCCCTGTCATATAAAGTCTGTCTTGGCTTTGGGGGTCAGGCCACGGTCAACCTGAGGTGTCAAAATTGGGTCAGAATCCTGGGGTAGCAGAGCGCGGCCATTGTCGCGCGCTATTAACGGCCCGTCATTTGTTAGTCGAGGGTAGTGTCTGTCCAAGTCATATTGACCTGTGGCTGGTATGTCATTTGATCCCCATGGAATTGTCAATGTCGCAACACGTTTCATGCATCAACGACACCTGCCGTATAAGGCTAATCTCGACGTTTGAAATCTTTATGTGTTAAAAAGTCGTCTAAAAATAAGAACAACACGGTAATTACAAAATCCCTCGACTTTTCTCAATCCCCGCCAGCGTGTTTTGAATACAATCTAACACTGGCGTGTCTTTAAGACGGCCGTGTGTGTGTTGTGTGTGTGTGTGTGTGTGCTGGTTGTATTCTGAATCAAAAACCAGCCAAGCGTAACGAGATGTGTAATGAACCCGCGTGGCACAGACGTTAGCGAGTCAGCTTTGATCGCATACACTTTGAAACGTTTGTTTCTTTATTTGCTCTGTTTTAGTTGTGTTTTTTTTTTTTCTAGAAAGTTGAAAGCTCTTTTGTTTATAATATAAACAGATTCTGTTAGATGTTCTGTTCTTGAGTTATTCACTAACAGGTAGGCGTTGTGGATGTTGAATCACTACAATGCTGGTAGTGAAGCATGTAGTGGATATTTAAGTGTTAGGGTTTTTTTTCGTTAGCTGATTTATAAATTGTGCCTGGGGGTTTGCATTGCTATTGTGTGGTTGGGTGTGTGTGGGTTGTGACAGCTTTAAACAGAAGAGAGAATGTGAGGGGACGGGGATGAACACACATGCGAATACTAACTGAAAATGTGTGTTATTTTTACTGATTTTATTTTTTATTCAAAAACAGTTGTATAATAATTAAGTAATTATAATTATTTTTAAAGATACTTTGAGATATTTAGTCGGAAATATTTTGTCTGAAATATTTCGTCTGAGATCATTTCTCTTGAGATCATTTGTACTTGAGATATTGTCTCATAAAATATTTTGTCTGAGCAATGTCCTGATATATTGTATGTGTGAGATATTTTGTCTGAGATATTTTGTCTGAGATATTGTGTCCTAAACAAAAACATTTACTAACATCAGAAAATATATAGTACATCAATAAGATCCAAACTGACTGTTAAGATTATACAGCCCTTAGGGGTAACTAATAATTACCTATGTATGTGTTATAAATAAGTACTAAAACATTTTCTCCTAGCACCTTTGGCTAGGTAATTTAGTTTTCTACGAAACATTTTTTACACTATTAAATCATTTGCAATTATTTATTTTTTTTACAGATCATTATAAACTCTATTAGAAAGAAAACGACCTTTTTGTAATCATAAGACTCGGCAAAATACCATTTCAAGAAACAGAACATTACAACCAACAATACAATAAAACTTAAAACTCAAAAAAAAATTCACTTCAAACTTAAATCAGAAATTAAGAGAAGAAAATGGTCAACTGTCTAAAGGCCGGTCACGTGGTGGCCTCGTCATTCCTCCTTCTAACGGACATCGCTGACGTCATCGCCGATTGGCTGTTCTACTCCGACGTGGCTACTACCAAAAAGGGCATCGTGTACGGCCCGCCAAGCCAAGCGATCCAATACGCTCTTTTGGCGTTTACGGTCATTGGATCCGTCTTCTTCGGCATTGAGGTAGTAGCCTTCCTGATACGGCGCTGCTGTAAGAATTGTTGTGCTGATTGGTGCGGGGAGAAACGTTTCGAAGACTTCGATGATTTTGTATCCATGATGGCCGTGTGGTTTGGAGACGTGCCGCAGTTGATTATCTCCCTTGTCATAGCTCTATGTAAAGAAGAACCGATCAGCATTTTCCAGTTGACCAAGGCTATCGTTGTTATTTTCAGCATAATATTCCGTATTATTATTCTTGGTGTGAAGTACTTCTCGGATAAATTAGGAAACAATCACAAAAAAATTAAAGTCGCTATTTTTACCGGAAATGTATTGACATTCGCGATTTCCGTGGTTCTTTTCGTGCTCAGCAACACGGAACCGGATACCGTGAATTTCAGGGTACCGTCCACGGTATTTGACGAAACGGTCAACGAAAAAGCGTATTTCGAGAACGTGAGTTTGTTTCTTAACGTCCCTGGGACGTACAACCCAAGGTCAACAACCCCGGTTAATTTGGTGCGCCTCGCTCCCATTGGAGACGTCATGTACAGCACGACAAAAAAAACTTCGTACACAATTTACTTCGATAACTCAGCGCCGAACAACGTAACAATGGCGATTTGGACCAACACAACACCAAGTAAAACGTTACAAGCTTGTTACAACATCGCTAATTACAATATATATCAAGCTCCAAATGTGTCTTGCACAAGCATGAAAACATCAAGTCAAAATTTTAGCGCAGTTTTTATAAAATTCCGCTTCCAACCACCGAAAGATATTTTCAGAGAGCAACTTCTAGGCGAAATTTATGTCAATTTTAAAAAATTTGATTCCAAAGGTTGTAACTATATAGAAGGATACAGCGATTCACTCGAAGCAATAAACTCTACTGCATCTATAGCTATGCACTATTATCGTACAAATATGCAATCATCATACGTAATACGGGATGGAAATATCTTTAGGTTTTACAGGAATGATGACAAGGATATTATTGATGTGAAAAAACTATGGAAGACCGGTTGGTCGAAGTGTGAACCTAGTGGAAGTTTGGGTCCTGTGCTTGATCAAAATATACCAATCGATTGTTCATTTAACTGATCATTGAAAGTTTGTTATGTATAACACTTTTAGCTGCGGTTGATAACTGATTAGAAGGTGCGAAAATAAGTCAAATTATATGAATAAACAATAACAATAGATTAAAATATAGTAATTGTAATTTATGTATCATCATGTTTTTGTTTGTGTCCTAAAGACATAGAACTGAGACACCATATTTGACATATATTAGACACACATATTTGACACACATATTTGACACACATATTTGACACATATTTGACACACATATTTGACACACATATTTGATATATGTATTTAACACATATTTGACACATATTTGACACATATTTGACACACATATTTGACACACATATTTGACACATATTTGACACACATATTTGACACACATATTTGATATATATATTTCACACATATTTGACATACATAACGGACACACATATTTAACACACATATTTGACACACATATTTGACACACAAATTCGACACACAAATTTTACACATATTTGACACACATATTTGACACACATATTTGACACATATTTGACACATATTTGACACATATATTTGACACATATTTGACACACGTATTTGACACATATCTGATACACATATTTGACACACAAAGATATTACATATACTTGACACACATATTACTTTATTATTCGCTTTAAAGAAACGAAAAACAGACTTTACTTGTTTAACTGTAGAGCTGTAGTGCCCCTAGGCAGAGATAGAAAATACATTAAGTTTAAATAAACAGATACTGAACTTCCAAGAGCCGACCCCCCCCCCCCCCCCCTTTCTAGATGAGCAATATGTATGAAAGAAACCCTGCGGGTAACCAATTCTCTCTAACGCTAAAACCCCGGCTCGGAAACGCCCTGACGATTTCACTTACCTGTGTTACTCCATTGTCTCTCGAGGAAGAGGGGAGCCCGACTGTGTGGGGTTTTTTAAAGAAAGATAACCCGCTTAGAACAACATCTTTTAAATAACACGGATTTGTTTCCCTTTGACTTTATTCAGACGCCCTAATTTTAGACATTCTAGGGCCCGACCGCTGTGTATTAACTATTTTCCTCGTCATGAGATTACTTGACAACCAATTGAATTGGATATATATATATATATATATATATATATATATATATATATATATATATATATATATATGTACGCACACATATATATATATATATATATATATATATATATATATATATATATATATATATATATATAGGTGTATTCAAACTGGCAAACAGATGTATTCAAACACAATTTAGCATTTCATTTTTTAAAAACATTTTTTCTTAAACATCTGCCGTCGTTATTCTTGTAATCCTTCAGTACTCAGATTTTTATTCAATTGCTTCTCGTAATTAATATTTAAATAGTGTATTTAAGAACATGAACAGCAATAAAACGAACACTTGAAACCATAACACGTGTGTTTTCGTTATTTTATACATTCTTGACTGGCTTTGCCAGATTGGAATAACACTGGAAGACATGCAATAAGTAACAAACATATTTAAAACTCGTTTATTTCAGGCCCTAAATGTTTTTGGCCTTATTTGTTGTAGTTTGTTTACCTAATAATGTATATAACTGTGTCAACATTGGCTAAACTGAATGTGCTGAATGGGTAACATGTGTTGAGCTGAGGCTGTAGTTCAGCTATATATATATATATATATATATATATATATATATATATATATATATATATATATATATATATATATATATATATATATATATAAACAACTAGTGTTCTTTACATGGCATTGTCGAATTTTTCCTTTACTCTTTCTTTTATTGCTTTAGTAACCTTTCTAATTGTATGTTTTCTGAAGTTATTAAAATGTCCCCCTTATCACAGCAGTGAATGTATATTTTCTTTTTGTTTGCGTTGAGTTTACTTGAATCAGTTATTACTATTCTAGGTCAATTCTGTTATGAATTCTTTACAATTTGATCTGAATTATAAACTGTCAATTAAAATTCTTAAATTAATAAAACAATGATCACAGCAAGATTTGTTTTAAAAAAAAACTTTCATAAATTGATTAAAGTTAAAGTTTGTATTAAAATAAATTACAAAATACAATCAGTGTTGTTTAAAAACAATTTTTAATACATTTTTATGTTTCACACAGCACCATAGGACATGAGGAAAGTTTAAACTATCCAGAAAGCAAAGAATTTCAGCCGCTTTACTTCACTGTACGCTGCTAAAGGAGTAACCAGCACACCAGTTGTCATGTCGTCCTGTTTCATCAATCTAAATTCCTGTTTAGTAAAATATGTCTAATACGCACCAATCGTCCAAGAGTGATGTTTAATTTAACAGTGCGATGCCGCAAGTAATAGTTTGTTTCATATAGCGCGCCACTTTTCTGACATTTTTTACGTAAAAATGCAATATTATATTTTTTTCCAAAGTAAAGTTTTTATATACTAACCTAAATGTATGTTAAAAAGAAATGGTTATGTAGAACGTTATTTCTAATTACTTGTAATTATGAGAAAAAACTACCACAATACTTTTAAAAAAACATAATTGTCACATTTTCAATTGCATATTATTAACTGAAAAAAAAATTAATAAAACCTATCACTTTGTTTACATTTTGGAGTCCATACAAAACGCCATGCTTTCAACAAGCGTTAGTCAAATACATCGTTACAAAATACATCAGCCAACATATAGGCCTATATTACCTAATACTCCATTACCTCATTCTCAAGCCTCCCAACCTCCAACTACATTTTGTAATGTAAAATACATTTCTTTCCGTGTAAAATATTAGCATGCTGTTGGCGATTTCTTTTTCCGTAGGCCAAAATATAAAAAAATTAATCACCAAAAATACATGAGCATTGTTAAGAAAATGTAGATTGGCCATTTACTTTATAACTTAAACATACCGTTTACAAAACTCTCAATAAATATTAAGAATGTCAAATATTGCTATACCCCCGACCCCACTCATTTTGACAAAAAGCATCTTTACGAACACATATCATTTTTATAAATGTGCCGTCATTTCTGGAATACTCATGAGAAAGTTGTTTCTAGGCTAGTAGGACGACATACAGTGTTCCGATACACAAGAAGACAAAATCTGTGGAATAGGTGAAAAGATATGTATTAATAAACCGGGAGTGATCTCCCCTAAACTTTCTCGAATATTCTTATATAAAACAACAGGGGATGGGAACTCGGGATATAGACATGATTTTTAATCCATTTTAAACACTTTTAAAATAGAATAAAATCTCGCGGAAAAAGAATCGCACACCAAGTGAACGCAAAATAAATATGTGCATAATAGTGCGCAATATTATTTGTATAAATTTACATGCGTTTTTTGAGAAATTGGAAATAGAGTAAATTACTACTTCCGGTCAACAGAAATTATTCAAAATTTGATAGAAGGTAGAGAATTAGATCTTTTACTTACATGTGGTGAAATTTTATCTATCTATCTGAAATAGTACTCAAGATATAGACTATTGAAAAATTCAAAGCAAAAAAAGTACCACTTCCGGTTATCGGAAATCAATCAAAAGTTGATACCTATCTACGATTTTGATAAAATACTTATATATGAAATTTCATCAACCTAGCTGTAACGGTACTCAAGTTATCGTGTTTACACACACACACACACAGACATATGCAAAATTATGCTTTTCCGTATCAGTGAGGTGTAAAACGTCGAGATTTTTAAAAATCTCGATTTTTTTTTTTGCACGATTACAAGACTTTCTTTATACTTCGTATATACGAGAAAGTATTAAAAAAATAAACCAGCGCAAATCTTCCAGTAATTGGTTAAAGTACTGATCTCTCTGCTCTTTTTAATGTTTTTGAATTGTAAGTCATAAAACTACTTTTGTTATTCAAAATAATATACATACAGCTTAAACTGACCACTGTAACCCTCACGCTTTTACTCCTTTTTTTACTCCTTTTTATAAAAAAAAAATTGTGTGTAGGTAAAACCAATATTATGTCCACACGAACAACCAGCCAGGAATGAGAAGCATACACTACACTGCTCGTTAATGACTGTGTGAACGTTGTAAGCCCAAAAAAAAATACAAGCGTGTGAGTTGGTTCTATTAGTGATACAATAGATCAACTTCCGCAATCATACAATCATTTGTCATATATTCAGTGCCTTTAGATTGTGTATGTAGAGTAC